CCTCTCGAACGAACTCCTTCGTCACCGAGACGTTACGGCACAACATTCCATATTTGGTTTAAACTTTTTTTATTCTGGTGATTTTGTATTCTTTCTGGGGTTCCAACTCAGCCAATTTCTTTGTCGGAAGATAGTCATCCAAACAGCTGACTTTATTAATTGTTGAGAAATCCTTCTTTTTATTGTAGGTGAGGTTTTTTTAGATTTCGTAGAAGGTTGTTATAATTTCTTTTAGCTACGATCAAATGTTTCACTTCCGCGATGTTCCTTAATAGTAGCTGTATTCGGACTCTGACCTCGCGTTGTTTCCTCTTATTTAACATCGGTCGAATTGTCACAGCAAACTAACGAAGACACGTTCAGCTTCTCCTTTTATAGGAAACTCTTAAGGGCTAAAATGGGGGATGGGAGGTTTCGGAAATTTCTAGAAATCGGATCGTCGACAGAGATTCCTGGAATGAATGTCAAGGTCAATGCATCTTCCGAACGGAGCGACTTACGTTCTAGAATATTCGGATGGACCTTAGCCCTTCTCCTACGAAGTTGCGTCGCGCGCTTACGTATCTCCTACGTGTAATTTTACACCTCGGAGGATGAGGGACTGCATTCTCGACGCACGACTTTGCAAGATAACGTTCGGTATTGCACATTTGAACAACCGATACATAGATTTTTCTAGAATGACTTTGACTCCACCACGAACCAATGCAAGGTTTTCCTGGAATTGTTTCCCATCGGTTCGAGCGATAAGATACCTACCCGAATGGCGCACTTTGAGCTCGAACTCTACATCAATAAATTTTCTACGCTCATTCGGAAGTGCACAAAGGGTCGCTTATCTTCTGCGAGTAATTCGATACTCTGAATAACAAGATCAAAACAGTGTTCGGCTGCCGCCTGAAGTCTGCATGGGGGGTCGGGGGAGTCATCGAAAGCTTTGGGCGGGGGGCTGCCGTCGATGGCTGCAATCGAATGGCTGACAAATTTCCTGGAATCGATGCTGCTGCTGCTGTTGCTGCATCCTCGATGCGCATTTTTGCGAGATAACGTTCGAGGTCAAAACGGCCGAAGGCTGCCGTTTGAAATCTACACGGATCGGGAGCGAGGAAGGGGGTCCATCGAAGCTTCTAGAAGGCTCCCCGCGGTGGGGGGCAAGGGGCTCCATCAAAACGTCGCGCGAGAGGACCGTCGGCTCTGGGAGCGATTCTCAGCGACTTAGCACGGACATGAACCGTCGAAGCTTCTGGAAGGTTCTAGAAGGTTCTAGAAGCTTCTAGAATGTTCTACAAGGTGCTCGATCGTATGCGATTCCTAGAATCAAGCGCGAAATTCCCAGAATGTGACGCCGAATTCCCAGAATTAAGCGAAAATTCTTGGAATCGAGGGGTCTTGATTACGTCACTTCCGGAAATCGTAGATCTCACGACGGTAACTTAGCACGGACACCCCCCTTCGAAGGTTCTAGAATGTCGGTATATGTCGGTTACAAGAATCTCTATTCAGAACTCCCCAACTTATACTACTATATTTTAATGCTTAGAGCTTCTATATCCCGTTGAACAAGAAAAACCTATGATATCCCCTAAAAAAATATTTACTTGTAAAAAACTACGCCAAGTACAAGAGTGCTGTGAATTCCTTTAACAAAAAGTATTAAAATCATATTATTGAGGCCAAGACATAATTCACTACATGTTTGCCTATTATATGATCTAGCACTGGCCCATCATTGTAATTGTATTTTCAAAATTTCGTATAATGTTTTCGCTACTCTTTCACATTACTACTACTTCCCGTAGTTGATCATGATTTAATGGTCATTTAATAATTAATAAAACTTTAGGTGATTCCTTATCGAGCACTAGTTGGCGGGTCCATTTCATTTCTTCATATAAATTTACGTTCATTATGCTAGTCATCAGATTCAAAACCAAGGTCAAGTTTCTATAGAGAGCATATTAACAATAACTCGTCAAAAATAATCACGGTAAAAGCTTAATAATAAACATATAGTTTATAACGCGGTGCCCGGCTCGGCTCGTCCTTGCTATAACTAATTTTTATCCATAGAGCCGCCAGAGAGCGCTAGAGGGCTAGGATTTTCCGAAAAATTAGGAGTTCTGATCGGGATTCGAACCCGATACCTTCGGACTCCCAAGTCGAGCGCTTACCACTGTACCACTGTGCCACTGAACCCACTGTCCGACCTGATAAGTCCTATTTATTTATTTTTCGGTCATTCCTAGGTGGTATCCCCTCCAGCTGTGTAACGCCACGTTACAACTTTTAGAATTCTATTAGTACGTTCAAAGTAAGTATTTTGGAATTCCTGGCACGGATCCGCCAAGTAGTACTCGATAAGGAATCACCTAAAGTTTTATAAATAATTAAATGACCATCAAATCATAATCAGCTACGAGAAGCAGTAGTAATGTAAAAGAGTAGCGAAAACATTATAGGAAATTTTAAAAATACAATTAAAATGAAGAGCTAGTGCTAGATCATATAATGGGCAAACATATAGTGACTTATGTACTTGGCCTCAATAATATGATTTCAATACTTCTTGTTAGAGGAATTGACAGCACTCCTGTACTTGGCGTAGTTTTTTACATGTAACTGTTTTTTGGGTGATCAAGAGACGCAGTAGCGTCTCGACGCCAAGTATTAAAAGAAAAAATCGCCCTCCTCACGAGACGCTACCGCTACTCTTATTGACGCCAAGTTGGCGCTTTTTTGTCTGCTACGATGAAATAACTTGAATTATCTGCGGGTATATGTCGTGGGCGAAAAATGTGTCAGGTCGAATATTTTTTATTTTTCTTTTTCTTTACAATGAGCCTCTGCCCAATAAAATCGGTTCCCGCAATGCTGATATATGGCATCTTAGCAATATCAGTCGAAAAATTTTTCTCAATTTGTACCCTCTCACACAATCTTAAAAAATTTGTCCCCTCGCATGATTTTCCGCCGAGGACAAGACGGGTGAAATCCACCACGTCACAACGTATGAGCTTCGACGCAACACAGGCATAACGGGTCGAGACACGCATGCGCAAAGAGCCAGTGAACACGTGTAGTCTTCTGTTTATATGGCCTCAGCTGTTGGCTACTATCTTATTATGAGTTCGTCTCATATTTCGCGCTTGTCGTTCGCGTATCGTTTCTGCGGACTGTGCATGTTATAATAGTGGATATAATTGATGTCTGTGGTAATGATTTGTAATAAAACATAAATATATTATTTTTTTTATAAATACATCGCGATTCCTAACCTGTCTCTTCGTGAAAAAATTCAGTCATTTCATCATTTGATTGTTTCATTACCGCTTTACCGGTTAATTAATCATTTATTAATCATAGTGATAGTAACTGTAGTGTGATATATATGTCCATAGCTCAGAAAAGGGAAGCAATGGATTTACCAAGAGGTATTTTAATGCGGCATGGATTGCTTTCTTCCTGTTTCTTCACTCTAATTGCTCATTTATGTCAAAGAATGCTCCATGAATTTGCTACATAGGTACTTTATAGTGTTAACCATTTAATAATTATAATTGTCTGTCGAAAGGACTTCAGTTGAAATAGACAGTTTGTCTGAATGAATTCACTCAAAATAGACAGGTCAGACTGGACGCAAGAGTCAATTTGCTTGAGACTAGGATTTAAATTATATTTCACCTTCTGCTTGGCAAATTCATTGCATCTGATACTTTTTTCTTAGCATTGAGTAAATCAAGAACATTACAGTCCAGGGTAGTTCCAATAAACATGTCATCTACAAAAATATGAGCTTTTCTATTTGTTCAATTAATAAAAAGCAATTTATATATATTTTGCTGATGGAAGCTGAATTCCTCTAAGACACTTGCTTCCGCATGATAAAAATATAAAGAAAAGATTCATTTATGAATTTAAATTTGTGTCAGAAATAATGTCTGAAATGGAATCAAGCATCCGTCAACGAAAGATGTAAATTTCTTTTAATCTATTCGATGTGTGGAAAAAATTCATAGCTTTGCTGACGATAGCTTTATTTGAACCTGTCAGCAATAGGATTTGTCTGTTATATTCAACGCTAGAAAAAAAGTATAAGTAATTGAAAATGACTGGATGCAAGAATCAATCTGCTTGAGACAAGGATTTAAATTGTATTTCACCTCCTGCTCAGTAAATTCATTGAATCTGATACTTTTTTCTCAGCATTGAGTACATGAAAAACATTACAGTTCAGAGTGGTTCGAATAAGCATATCGTCTACAAAAATATGAGCTTTTCTCTCTGTTCAATTAATAAAAAGCAATTTATATATCTTTTGCTGATGGAAGCTGAATTCCTCTAAGACATTTGCTTTTATTGTCAGCTAGTTCAAATATTAGGCGTAGTATTTTTTAAAAGTCTTAGAAATTGCTTTCTCCCGCCCTTACTTTAATGGACTATCTATGGAAAGAAAGTAAGAGATAGAGACAGAGAAAGAGACAGAGACAGAGATAGAGAGAGAGAGAGAGAGAGAGAGAGAGAAAGAAGGACCGCAAGAAATAATAAAAAACGCATTATTACATATTTTTTGAACAATAATATATTATATATAATATGTAACATGTAATAATTTTAAAACTTATAATAAATAAATATATTTTAGACAGAACTCAGAACTAAGAACTTGGCCCTGCAACAAAAATAACAAATAATATAAAATAATATTTATCAAGGAGCGCGATAGCCATCTGAAAAAAAATAACACCGTTTATACTTACTATTGTTAGCTGCCAACTCGTCCGCCGCCTCGCCTGCCGCCTCGACCCCTTGCCCGACAGGGCCCTTGACTTGCTAATTTTCTTAGCATGCGGCACAGAAAAGCTTCCGCATAATTTTGCCGTGCCCTTCTTCCGGCACGATTTCCGCGGCGTTGATAATTTCCTGTAAAATGAAAAATAAAAATAAATAAATGAGTAAAATAAATGCAAAATAGTATTTTTATAATTTAGCATACGTGGTAAAACATTTTCTGACAAGTGTGAGGTTGCAGCATGAGTCGAAGGCGATTATTGCAATCATACAAGTTAAGAAAACGTTGTCCCAACAAGTAATTTACAAAATTTTACTTGACAAGCACTGCGTTGCCTGAGCATGACCTGGATCGTGCCCAGATGACACAGTAGTGCTCGTGAAGTAAAATTTTCCCAGTGGCTTTTCATTTGACGCAACTTTTAATTATACTCGTTGATGGATTTTAGTTGTCCACTTGTTGCTTTTTTTTACATCGGTCGACCTGTCTCAACTTAAACGATGTGCTCAGTTCGTTATTTATAAGCAGTCGCAGTTACTTGTATTAAGAAAATGAAGATTTTTTACTTACGTTCTTCGTCCGCTGGAGGGTACTCAGTAATTGGCCGTGGCTGTGGCCGTGGCCGTGGCCCTGGCTGTGCCACCGGTAGAGGTGCTTGTCGCATCGGCTGCGCGAGATCCTCCCTCTTCCCCGACGCCGAATCGACAAGGACGTCACCGTGCGCTCGCTCTGTTTGTTCGATAGAATAATCCACCTGAAATATAAAAAATACACATGAATTAATCGTTATAAAAAAAAACACGCTTAAGACTGGTGCCCCCGCCGCCGATTCCATAAAAATTCGCTCCATGTCCATCTGACATATAAAAAATACACATGAATTAATCGCTATTAAAAAAATATTCTTAATAGCCGCAGTAGAATCTCGATGCCAAGTAATTTTGTGTCGTCGGACGACGTTTACTTGATTGAGACGCTACTGCTCCTTTTATTTACCGCTACGTCGGCTTTATATCTGCCTTTTCAATTATTATTAATTCCCATTTCGTTTATTCGAAAAGCGAAGAATAAATTTAATTTTAATTACTTACCTCGAAATCGTTGTCGCTCTCGTTCTCCATTTTCTTCGAAGTGATGAAAAACAAAGAAGACGAAGAAGAAAGAAATATAGATCTTTTTTTGTCTTCTATCTGTCTTTCAAAGACAGAAGAACTTTGGTGCTTTTACAAAAAAATTCGACACTCTTATTGGCTGTCGTGGTTGACACGAAATTCACGGGTACCTGATAGGCCTACTTGCGCCAGCGAATCATGGAGGTACGCGAGAGAGTATTGTTATGATAGATGTGTTTTTGAGCACGTGTATGTTACCCGGTAGAATGTCATCAAAAAACAAAACAGAGACGCGGTAGGGTCTCGACAGGCAGTATTGACAGAAGATTTATTAGCCTCCATTAAGTCTATCGAGAGACGCAAACCAGTGTGTGGATAAAGAGTGGGTACGCGAGAGAGTATTGTTATGATAGTTGTGTTTTTGAGCACGTGTATGTTACCCGCTCGAATGTCATCAAAAAACAAACCAGAAGATTTATTAGCCTCCATTCTGTGTATCGAGAGGCGTAAATCATTGTGTGTAAAAAGAGTGTGCCGAATGTAAAGTGGCGGTGAAAGTAAAAAGTGAAGAGATATATTGGTGCAATATAAGTGGCATTAAATATATTCTTCTCTGGGTTCGCTGCGGCGAGTAAAAAAAGTCTTGTCATTTTGCTATTTCCCAGTAAGAAAACGTGCTGCATGACGTATCAGCAGCAAAAATGTGAATTCTGCGACCGCATTAAGCTAAAATCTAACGGGCATTCATGGCATACTATTTTGTCAGATATTAGCTTAACCAACCTGGTTAATATAATTTTTTTTGTATTATTTATTGCAGATTGAACGACTACGGGATACGCCAGCGATTTTTTTTTATTTTTTGTTTTAAAATCTTCTTATTTACCTAACGTCATGTCATTTTGCTATTTCCCAGTAAGAAAACGTGCTGCATGACGTATCAGCAAAAAATGTGAATTCTGCGACCGCATTAAGCTAAAATCTAACGGGCATTCATGGCATACTATTTTGTCAGATATTAGCTTAACCAACCTGGTTAATATAATTTTTTTTGTATTATTTATTGCAGATTGAACGACTACGGAATACGCCAGCGATTTTTTTTTATTTTTTGTTTTTAAATCTTTTTTTATTTACTTAAGAGTTCCAAACTCACTGGCGGCTCAAAGCGCCTGGCATTCTGTTCGATTTAGAACACCTGTGAGTTCAAAATTCACTGGCAGCTCACAGCGCCTGGCAGATTCTAGCGCCTGACTCACTGGCGGCTCAAAGCGCCTGGCATTCTGTTCGATTTAGAACACCTGTGAGTTCAAAACTCACTGGCAGCTCACAGTGCCTGGCAGCTTCTAGCGCCTATACCGAAGCCCTAGAGGCTATAAATAATAATAAATAAAAGACGATAATACGTCTTAGTATGATGGCAGCATTGAAGCAGGAATTAGACCAGAAGAACGTTATTGCTACAGGTCATCGACTGAACGACGATCACATTGATGACTTTGGGCGTTTGTTAACCGCAAATTCAGACTTCTTGCAACCATCTGAAACATGGAGTATTTATTTTCCGCACTTAATAAACCCTATACCGCAGGACCGAAAACATATTCAGTTATTACATAGCTCAAGTAATCTTACTGACCGGCGTGCACCTGGTGTTCATTATCTGAAACATGGAGTATTTATTTTCCGCACTTAATAAACCCTATACCGCAGGACCGAAAACATATTCAGTTATTATATAGCTCAAGTGATCTTACTGACCGGCGTGCACCTGGTGGTCATTGGGTCTGCAGTTATTATGATAAAAAAAAACTGTTCATTTATGATTCCCTCAGGGCTCCGACGAAACGATTGCATGAACATCACAGATTGGTTCTTAAGAAACTATACCCACATCTCGATCTCAATGTTAAATCGGTAGTTGTATTTCCACTCGTCGATCAGCAGCCGAATAATAAAGATTGCGGCATATATGCAATCGCATTTGCTGTAACGATTTTGTTTGGTTTAAAGCTGGAGAACGTTAGATATGACACTACACAGATGCGTCGTCATTTGTTGGAGATGTTTGAATCCAAAAGAATC